ATACTAACTTCCTGGTTTGGCTACGAAAATACCTCATCACTGCATTGTGTTAACGAATAGGCTAACATGCTAATTAATCAAAGATGCATTTTGTAGTGTTAGACAGTAGGAGATTTGCTCCATCTACTATTAACAATTACGGACACAATTTACATTCGGCCGAGATGGGTTTTCTCCGCAGGGTGGCTGGTGTCTCCCTTAGGGGTAAGGTGAGAAGTTCGGTCATCCGGGAGGGACTCGGAGTTGAACCGCTCCTCCTTCACGTTGAAAGGAGCCAGTTGAGGTGGTCCGGGCACCTAGTTAGGATGCCACCTGGGCGCCTCCCTAGGGAGGTGTTCCAGGCACGTCCAGCTGGGAAGAGACCAAGGGGTAGACCTAGAACCAGATGGAGGGATTATATCTCTTCACTGGCCTGGGAGCGCCTTGGGATCCCCCAGTCAGAGCTGGTTGATGTGGCCAGGGAAAAGAACGTTTGGGGCTCTCTGCTGGAACTGCTACCTCCGCGACCCGACCACGGATAAGCGGGAGAAGATGGATGGATGGATGGATGGTTCAGAGCTGACTCATTTGAGTAACACATGTACTGTGAAATTTGCACTGGATGAAAAAAATCAAACATACAGTAGAACTACAATGCTGCAGGTTTGGCTATGGATATAGACATGTTTTAAAGAGAAGTAGTTATATCATTAATAACATAGGTTAATCCATAAGGTGTGCATTAACCTCATAAAAAACGAGAGTAAAGTACAAATCCTGTGCATTGATATTTATCAAGAAATATTGAGATTACTGTCCATATAACGGCAGATAATCACTTAATATTACANTCAAACACCGCTTTTAGTTAGTTTCAGTTGAACATGTCATCACAATAATTGTATTTGTGATATTTTATCCGACAAAGACAGAAATGTTTCCCTAATATCCAAGTTTTTTTTTGTTAGCTTATCACACCAGAACTATACATTTTCAGCCATTAGCTTCAAAAAAGCTTTATTTTATTTTATTGCTATCTTACTATATTTGTATTACAGTGTTCTTAATATAGTTCGCTATCAGTGTACTTTTTTAAATTGTTCTTTTATATTTTATGTATGCACCATGACATCCAGTCAAATCCCTCGAATGTGTGAACGGCAATAAACCCGTTTCTGATTCTGATAACAAATGATCATTTACGTCACACTTACTAGTAAGATTTCTTTCTCACAAAACGGTCCAAAGAGGTCCAAAGATGCAACAGCACCTTGAATATGTATATTGTTCTTCAGTGATGCAAATTGACAATACGTAAATTAAAAGAAGCTGACAGACAGTGAACCTGGGGCTTGAGTATTTAATGTGGTAATCCATCATGCCCTGTGTTCCGACTCCTACTCCTGGTACTACTGCTGCTGCTAATAGAGCTTCTTCTGCCTCTGGCTCAGGGGGCTGTCCATTATTCAGGCGTCTGATCCCCAGTCTCTCCTGTCCTTTTTGAAGTGTCCTTGGCTGACATATTGAACCCGAAATTGTGGTGATCGCCAACACACAGTGGTGGAAGGAAGTACAGTTACTCAAGTATTGAATTTACGATGTGAGGCTCTTTACCTGAGTATTTTCTTTTAACGCTACTTAATACTTCTATATTATATCTTACTTTTTACTTGACTACATTTATCTGAAAGCTTTAGTTACTAGGTACTTTACAGATTCAAATGACGAGCTAAAACACAATTTAAATCAACAAAAACATCAACAATAACATATAATTAGGGGTTCAAATATCCAAGAGCAGCATACAAACTATTGAAATGAGCTCCACCTTTGCTAAATGTAAAAGTACATCACATATTACATATTTATTCATCCAATAATACTCCAGTAATTTAATAGATATCATTAAGACATGGGCCACAACGCTTAATGAGTACTTCATTTTTTGAAATTGAGTACATTTTGATACCAAACGATTTTAAAAGCAAACCTTTTCCTTTTAAGAAAGTATTTTTAAATTTAGTATAGCTACATTTACAAAAGTATTAAATTGGAGTACTTTTTTTTGCAAACACGAACACTAAAATTGTTCCTAAAGGTCGGACAACTGGGTGTGTGTGTGTGTGTGTGTGTGTGTGTGTGTGTGTGTGTGTGTGTGTGTGTGTGTGTGTGTGTGTCGTACGTAATACGTTAGTAGTAGACTATACTAAGTTAAGTAACGTAAG